TCTGTCTGTCTCTCCCCTGTCTGTCTGTCTCTCACCTGTCTGTCTGTCTCTATCTCACCTGTTTGTCTGTCTGTCTGTCTCTCACCTGTCTGTCTGTCTCTATCTCACCTGTCTGTCTGTATGTATGTCTGTCTGTTTCTCACCTGTCTGTCTGTCGCTATCTCACCTGTCTGTCTGTCTCTATCTCAACTGTCTGTCTCACCTGTTTCTCTGTCTGTCTGTCTGTCTCTATCTCACCTGTCTGTCTGATTGTCTGTCTGTCTGTCTGTCTGTCTGTCTGTCACCTGTCTGTCTGTCTGTCTGTCTGTCTCTATCTCACTTGCACTTCTGTCTCTATCTCACCTGTCTGTCTGTCTGTATGTATGTCTGTCTGTCTCTCACCTGTCTGTCTGTCTCTATCTCACCTGTCTGTCTGTCTGTCTGTCTCTCGCCTTTCTGTCTGTCTGTCTGTCTGACTGACTGTCTGTCTGTCTGTCTCTCACCTGTCTGTCTGTCACCTGTCTGTCTGTCTGTCTGTCTCTATCTCACCTGTCTGTCTGTCTGTCTGTCTGTCTCTCACCTTTCTGTCTGTCTGTCTGTCTGACTGTCTGTCTGTCTGTCTGTCTCTCACCTGTCTGTCTGACTCTCACCTGTCTGTCTGTCTACCTGTCTGTCTGTCTGTCTGTCTGTCTCTATCTCACTTGCCCTTCTGTCTCTATCCTGTCTGTCTGTCTGTCTGTCTCTATCTCACCTGTTTGTCTGTCTGTCTCTATCTCACCTGTCTGTCTGATTGTCTGTCTGTCTGTCTCCATCTAACCTGTCTGACTGTCTCTCACCTGTCTGTCTGTCTCTATCTCACTTGCCTGTCTGTCTCTATCTCACCTGTCTGTCTGTCTGTCTGTATGTATGTATGTCTGTCTGTCTCTCACCTGTCTGTCTGTCTGTCTCTATCTCACCTGTCTGTCTGTCTGTCTCTATCTCACCTGTTTCTCTGTCTGTCTGTCTGTCTCTATCTCACCTGTTTCTCTGTCTGTCTGTCTGTCTCTATCTCACCTGTTTCTCTGTCTGTCTGTCTGTCTCTATCTCACCTGCCTGTCTGTCTGTCTGTCTCTCACCTGTCTGTCTGTC